AAAAAAAAAAATCTAATAAATTAAATTCTTAAAATAATTAAAAGGTTATTGTAAGGTTAATGTTTATGCAGCTCATAATGTTCTGGCTCTACAAAAATTTAAACTTTTAACCTTTCTCCAAAATATTGTTCAAGTTGTGAGAGTTTAAAAAGGGGAAGGTGGGCAGTCACTCTTTTTATATATTTTTTTCTGTTCTTAAATTCACATTATTCTGGTCTGCGAGTCTTTTCATCGAGACAGTTTTGGCCCACCTGAAAATGTTTGGACACCCCTGTCTTAATCCAGCTGTGGCCAAAATGACACCATTCTTCAACTGCAGCTGTGGGCTGCACAAAATCACTTCAAGGGCCGCAAGTGGCCCTCGGGCCGTACTTTGGACGCCCGTGCGTTACAGGGCTGTGAGTGACAGGAGTTTGCTTCCCGCAGCTGCTGACGCGATCGTCTTTTTAAACGACTCTGCTGCTCCCAGATGGAGCAGGAGTGAGTCAGGTCAGCTGGATCCACGTGAAAGGTTGCGTGTTGGACCAGCACCAGCTACCGTTCTGATAAAACCCGGCGCCGCTGCCTTTAGCCGTACATTTGTCGTGAAACGGTGCCAGCTTGTTTCCGTCCTCAGGTCGGCTCCGCTTGTCACATTTTCACCGAGACCTTTGCTCCGTCCTGCGGTATAATCCTGACAGGTGTTGGTGACGGGTTGTTCCCAGGAAGGAGGCAAGATGAAATGTCGCTCTTAAGAGTTTTTAACATTTCAATTTTTCTGCAGCTCGGTGCAGAACAGTGAGCGAGGGAAGAAGATCGGAAACGCCATGATGACCACCAGCCGCAGCATGGTTCAGACCGGAAAGATTGTGGGTAAGAAGCCTCCAAGAATGAGAGCGGCCATTAGCAATGTTTAAAAAAACATTTTTTAAATAATAAACCCTTACATAAATGTTCCACTCTCAGGTCAGTCAGTGGGCGGAGCTTTGACAAGTGCCAAGTCTGCCATGTCCTCCTGGTTCTCTACACTGGCCCAACCAGCACCGGTACCCTCTGAACCGGCCTCTGAGGTGAAACCGTAACAGTCGGTGTCCAGAACGTCTCAGCGCGTTTGTTAAAACCTTTCCTCGAGTTTAAAGGGAAACCATAAAACATGACGACCTCCGACCTGGAACAGCTTTCCGTTTTCCAGCGTCGTCAGCTCCACCACAAACACCACAGCTGCACCGTCAGCTCCACCACAAACACCACAGCTGCACCGTCCACGCTCACTGTGAGGGGAACCTGCCAGAGACTCACCTGACCTCCTGTCTGTCCCTGCTCTCCTTCCTCCGACACACAACATGTGCTGTGTTTGGGCTTGCTGCGTATTATTCACTTTATCTTTTTATTCTTTCAATTTATCTTGAACTAATGGCACGAGAACCCCAAAGATTTCATCTAATTAAGAGTTTAAATTCATTCAGGCCCGTTGCCTCTGTAGTAAAACTGTGGTTGTTTAAAACTGACGTCAGGGTAGATGAAACATAATGTTGGCATTAAATGTTATTCTCCTCCTTTTTTAATAAATAAGTTTGAAAAAGCTGAAAGAAAAACAATTAAAATATAGGATAAGCAGCAATATCAAATACTTTATCAGTACAATGATTAAATCGTAAAATATCAAGATAAAACTATATATATAGATAAAGCTTTAAAAAGCTATATCACTAATATAGACGTTATCCACAACTATTTTTAGTATTTTTTAATATTTTAGCATTATTTTACAAACAAGAAAAAAAAATTATTATGGTTGTTTTAAAAATGATCTTGAGTAATTTAATAGGGGGTGCTAAAACAGACTGAAACATTTTAGATCTCAAACATTTGCCTTTTATCATAAATTAGAGCCTTTTTAATGTTTATTGACATTAGTCATTCTTTACACGTTGGTCACATTTTAAACATTAAGACGAGATAAACAAGAGAGACAGTTCTTTTAGTCTGAAAGGAATAAACATGAATATATTTGAGTCGCTCGTGATAAATTAAATGATCTGCTGTAAATAAAAATACCATCAAAGTTCCCAAAGTTTGGACGTTCTTCCTGGAACAACCACACGGTTACTACAGAAACTTTGTGAAAACGCCTCCTTCAGCAGTGAAGGAATCTGAAAAACCGTAGTTAGGACCCCCCCAGGCCTTTTTGTACTTTGTCAGTATACATAAAATCTATATTTGAAGAAATCTATTTGGTAACACTGACAATAGACTCGTTACAGATTACGTATTTATTAAGAAGTATGTTTTGTCACGACAACACTGGAAGAAGTGGACCACTGTGTTTATTTGCACAAAGCCGTCATTTTATTGTGTCCGTGTGGATCTTTAACTTTTAAAACTGTACATTTTACAGGATCCTTTCCCTTCATGCTGCTCACACATTCAGGATTCAAAGTAATCCGGCGAGCCTGTTCTCCTTTGTGAGATTTCCTGCTTTTTAAATGTTTGTCTTTTCTGTCGTCGCGATTTTTACACGTTCTTTGGTCAAGTGTTTCCTGGATTAGGTTTGGTCAAATATACTTTTTATTTGAAGATCTCTATTAATTTTGTATTTCTATATCCTGAATATGTACCAATATTGACAGAATATTTTCCTGAGATGCTTGTAATGTATTGGAGAATGAAGTGATCTGATGCTGTAAGAGAAAAATAAATAAAAACGGCCCTTTTATTTATAAGAGCTCATCCTGTCTCAGGTTTCTGTGTGGGTTGAAGTGATGGCAGATGCAGGTTAGATTATTGTTGTCATGTGATAAAGAATATTTGTAAAAGTCCACCACCAGTTTCCCAAACTCATTCAGAAAATCATCAGTTTATTGCAAAACAATTCAAGAGGTGAAGGAAGAGCCGACCTCTTGGTGTTTTGGTGACCGGCTTTAACAGAAGTGTGCTTTAAATTACACGTCCTGCCGTGAAGGACACGTTGGTGCTCCTGGTTCAAGATGTCTTCTTAATGGTAGCAAGACCAAATAATTATTGAATATAGAATAAACACCAGGGCGGCACGGTGGATCAGTTAGAGCTGCCACCTCTCAGCAAGAAGGTTGCCGGATCCAATTCTGGCCGGGGGTCTTTCTGGGTGGAGTTTGCATGTTCTCTCCGTGCATGCGTGGGTTTTCTCCAGGTACTCCAGTTTCCTCCCACAGACTAAAAACATGCATGTTAGACTGACTGGTAACTCTAAATCGTCCCTAGGTGAGGAATGGTTGGTTGTCTCTGTGTCCCTGTGATGGACTGGAGACATGTCCAGGGTGTCCCCCACCTCTCCAAGTGATGGTTGGATATGGGCACCAATGACCCCGGTGACCCAAAATGGAAGAAGTGGGTTAAGATAATGGATGGATGGATTTTTTGCTGAATGTTTCAAAATTGTAGTAATTTATAAACTGTTGCTCTTTTCTCACAATAAAATTAAACTTTAAATTGGACTAAATTGCTGCACCATGTTGACAAACCATTGCACAGCTGTTTAGTCATGTGACTACTGTCCAATACGAGGTCCAGTGTCGACACGTCCTGAAATGTTACTTGTGGCATATTGTTTAGAGACGTTGTTCTTTAAAACAAACCCAACACAGAGTCCATTTCCAGAACGTTTTTGGTATGTTTTTTAATAAATTAACGTCCATCCAAAATACAGTGCCAAAGGAAAATGATGCATCCAAACATGCTAGGTAAAGTTCGTCATGAAGCACCTGTGCTCATGTTTAAGATAAGAGGAACGCTCCCTTTCCCGCCCTGACCAGTCCCGCTCCACTGACACCAGTAGTTGCCTGGATGACGTCTGAAGCCCCAATCCTGGGCCAGCCCCGTCCTTTTGCAACCAATCAGCAGCAAAAACACTTTCCAATATTCACTCAGAAAAATGTAATCTGATAAGAAATGGTGATCTACCCACAATCACACTACAGTAATGTTTGATATTAAATAAAAAAGACACCAATACAAAATAGACCTGGTTATTCCCCCCCTCAACACACTAAAACAGCTGTCTTAAACATATGAAAAATATATGTAATTTATTTATTTATACATTTCAGCAGCTTTAAAAAAATGCATGAGCCCAGAACCTGTTACTGCGAGTAGAGTTGTGTGTGAGGACAGAAACCCCGGTGGAAAGAAACGCAAAGTGTCATGACCACGTGGCGATGGACAGACTGAGGTGTACGCTGCTGGTTGTGTGGAAGACCCGTGTGCAGCAGACGTGACGGACAGGCAGCGGAGGCCGACTCAGGATGGAGCGGGCAGCTCCGAGCAGGGTGGGGTGAGAAGTGACTGGACCTGCAGCCCCCCTCTCCTTAACCCCCCCCCCCCCCCCCCTCCAACACACCGCTCGCTCGCTTCGCCCGTCGATCCTCCTGCAAACCTCGGCTGCCGCTCCTCTCATCTGCAAGGCCTTTAGAGGAAATACGCAATCCTGTGTTCCAAAGAATATCCTGCTGAAAATCAAGTTCCTCGCAACGATTGTTAAAAAATATACCGAACGATGATGTAAAACTGAAAGGCCTCGCATTCCTTGGAGGAATGTTGATCATGTGCTGCCTTTCACACCAGTTGTAAACTAAGATCGTTTTATAATGAGAAATAACAGAGCTGGATCCAGTTTGGTCAAACCTTGAAAACAACGTGCACGGTCTCGTGCGACGGCGCTCTTAGAGCTCGTATGTGATGTGTACGACTGATCTGAGCTTAAATTTGGTGGCTGCCATCTTGCATAGGGTTGACTCGAAAAGATTTACAGACTGAAAGTTTCATAAAACCCACTGAACAGAAGTGGAACTCTCTAGAACCCTTCACGGAGCGAGTTTTGATTTTCTGCAGAGTATTTCTACATCAGTCAGAGCAGAGAAATGAAGAAGAGGAGGAAGCTGAAGAGCTGGACAGTGGTCTGGAGGTGGGGAGCATTTTGGTACCAATGGTTGCCATTACCATGAGTCAGAAGGTTTATCGGTCAAGTGCATCATCCTCCTCCTCCTCCTCCTCACAAAATTAGTTTGAGATCATCACATTGGAGAAACAGTATGACATAATACCTAACAGATGTCACGACTGACGAAGTCAAACAAAGAAAAAACATGTTCGTTATTTCAGTATTTGAAGGGCATCAATTCAATCAGTTTTAGTCCAAAGTCCCTCCAAAAAACTGACATGGAACCCTTTGATTATGCTGAAGCCCCGCCCCTTCTTTGTGTTCATGCCTCGGCGATCCCTCCCTCCCTCGTTCAGTCAGTGAGGGCGCAGAGGGGGGAGCTATACATGAGGGAGGGTCACCAGCTCCCCGTCCACCTCGAACTCCTCGGCTCCGTCGGGTGAAAAGAGGTAGGTTGGAGGTTTCCACGGAGACTCCTCCAGGCAGGAGGGGTACAGTTTCCCTACGGCACAGCGGAAGTCTTTTCCCAGGTCCCAGAGCACGCGCTCGGACACGGGCTGCCACAGGTACCAGCGGTCCAGCTCCACGTCGTACTGATAGATGGCGTACTTGGCGCGCTCGTTCATGTGAGTCTCCCTCATGAAAATGCACAGCGAGTTGAGCAGCACCACCGCTCGCACGCAGGGGTCCGAGTAGCGCTTGGCAGGGATGTTGGCGGCCAGGCGCCATTCGTTTTTGTTTATATCGTAGATCTCCACGGTCACCGAAGAGCCATCGATGGTGCTGGTCGGCATGCGGATGCCGGAGTTGCTGACGACGTGGAGGCCGCCGATGTAGAAAATTTGGTCGCCAAAGGCAGCGGCAGAGGCAAAGCAGCGGCTCATCTTGCGCATGGCCATCTCCACCCACGTGTCTGCCCGGGGGAAGTAGCAGTACATGAGATCGTGGGTCAGCACGTAGATGCAGTCGTGCGCCACCACCGAGGTGCTCCAGTTCCAAGCAAAAGGTAGCGGGCTCATCATGGTCCATTCATCCTTCTCGCAGTCGTAGCGCTCCACCGTGCGCTTGCTCAGCTCACCTCCGACGTTATCGCCACCGATTGCATAGATGTAGCCCTCGCAGCAGACCAGCGAGGGCTTGATGCGGGCACACAGCATGGGGGTTTTAGGCACCCAGGCGTTCTGTTGGGCATCAAACCAGAAGAAACTATCGACCGGGCGAAACACAGCCTGAAACTTTCCACTTTTTCCGTGATTGGTGATCGAGTTCTTGAGGGGGATCTGACCACCAGCAATGTATACATCATTGTCAGGAGTAACAAGGGTCCCCATCTTCTGCAGGTCTCCTGGGGGGTTGCAGAGCTTGTACACCTTCTCTGCTTGCGGGCTGTAACACACTATTGTCGTAGGCACAGACATGGGCATGACGTAGCTCTTACTTTGCGTCTCCGACATGGCCTCCATGAAGATGAGCATCTCTTCTTTGGTCATGCCTAAGCGAGGCTTGAAGAACTTGGGCATGGACTTGTAAAGTCCCTGCACCACTACAGACTTGTCGTTAGGCGGCAGACCTTGAAACCAGGCACGCTGCGTCACCTCCGACAACGCATCGATGCGGATCTGACTGAGCACGGAGGACAGATGCTGCGAGCGTGCTTCCATGTTGTACTCCAACCACAGCATGGCCGCCTCACGCACCGTCTCCTCCTTCTCCACGTTGAGGTTGTCGCTGCTCAGGATGTCTATCAGCAGCTCGTGGGAGAGCTGCAGGAAGGCCTCCTGACGGTAAACTCTTGGAAACTTGTGCTCCACCATGCGTTTGGCGCTCTGCTTCAACTCACCGCAGCTGAACAGATCGCCGATGCTCAGCATGCGGACGCAGTTCTCAGCGTTTATCTTCTTTACCAGATAGTCTCTGCACTGCAGCAAGACATCGTCAACCTGAAGGGACAGAGGACGTCAGACGCTGTGCATCAAATAAATCTGTTTGTAGAAATGTGACGTGAAATCAAGACTTGAGAAGTGATGAAACGTACACACTCACAGGAGCTTTGAAAAGAGACACAACTTGAAGTGAAGGTAAATGGACTGAAGCTTTCCGTCTTATCAAGATACTCAAAGTGCTTTAAAACACAATCTGTGCCTCACTCATCCAGACATTCTAATAATCAGAGCTTTATCACATTCACACACTGATGGGACACACATCGAAGGCAATGAGGGGTTCAGTGTCTTGCCCAGGGACTCTTGAGCATGTGACTGCTGGTGGATTCGAACCCCCGACTCTTGCATTGGAGGACGACCGCTCTAACCACTCAGCCACAGGGTAAACTTTAGGATTTATAACATGAGACTGACTTAAGACAAATATTTGATAATGCCTCGGATTATTTTCCTCCATAAAATCACCATTTTTAGAAAACATGACTCATGACGATGTTCTACGATGAATTAATGGGGAACCGATTTCCAGCAGTGGACAGCTGAGCACAGAGACAGGCGTTCATCTTTCTGGCTGATTCGTTGACAACAAAGCAAACGACTGAGCTGTTACCAACCTGAAGGAAGCAGGCGGTCTCGTAAAGTGGCTCCACTGTGCTGTCGCTGATGGCCAGGTTGCCCGTGTAGGCGTAGGTGATGATGATCTTCAGGGTGGCGGGGTCCACGTTTCTGAGATGAACGTGGGTCTGCTTGCTCTCGCTGAGGCCGCTCATAAACATCGCCCTGTAGGAGGAAGATGACGAACCTCGTCATCTTGACTGTTGGTACATCAATGACTACAAACACATATTTTTATTCAGAACAGAGCAGTCGAATCATCACAAGTCTTAGAACCATCTTAGAACATCTCCAATCTAATGAAAGTTCCCCCCTCAGTTACTTGCACAGTGAAGGAGGAAATGACATCACCGAGCATGAAAGTGGTAGCGTCGGAGTATTGAGGTGTTTTTACAAGTACAAGTACATGAGGGTTGGTACAGCGCACGATACAATACCTGTATTGTTAGGAGTACACCACTACTAAAACATTCTTATCAGGGGTGCAGTGATTGCAGTTTTGTGGCCGATCAACGATTTCTAAAAAGTCTGACCTGCAGATTCCGATTTTGTTTAATAAGCGACGCAGTCCGGTGTTATCAGGTCACAACGCACCTTCAATATACCAATATTATTTTGTTGGAAAACACACCGTTGAACAACATCCAAGAAACAATACAAACTTGTTTTAACTGGCCATGAGGCAGTGCTCTGA